ATTTTAAACTTATTTTAAATTACTAAATTTTTAAGGGATTCATGAATGCTGAAACCAACAGTGGTTTAAAATCTGTCCCACCACAAAGCTGGGCCCAAAGTCCCTTTTGGGCTGGGCCTAAAGCTGCCCCAGCTTTTATAAATTCTGACCTCCACTGCTGTTAACCTTCATCCATGCAGAAAACTTCCAAGACTTTGGGATGAATTGGAATTTTCTGTGTGTGAAATAGATAACAGTGTAATGAATTTATCACAGGGGGAAAAACTCAGTTTTAAGAGGGAAGTGGATAGGAGACAAGATGGAGGATTTGGGGAATTGTCTGATCTCCTTCTTCCTCATCTCCTCCATTTTCTGCAGGGTTGGTGGCACTGAAAGGGCTGCAATGCAGATGCTGCAGGAACAGACAAATAATTATTGGTAGAAATAAAATATGTTCTAAGGGTTAATTGGACAAAATAGCTTTAAAAGACCTTGAACCTGTGTGTTCCTTGGTGCCTTTTCTTTTTACACTAAGTCTGAGAGAGTACACAGAGTGCTGAACTGCTGATAAGAGAAAAATCAACAGCAAAGAAAACCAAAAAACCAAAAGTTCCATTCTTCTCCCAGTTCTGGCACAGAACTTTTTAGGGCTCTCCCCATCAGGGAGGGTTCCCACAGGCTCAGAATTCCCTTTGTGCCAACAGGAACAATCTCTGTGCCCTTCTCACCACCCCAGATCCTCCAGGCCTTGGCACAGCTGAGCCAGAAGGCTGAGATTTGATTTTGCACCATAAAAACCCTCAATCCTTTCAATCCTTGCTGTGGCCTCCAGGTGTGTGAGAAGGACCTGTACTGCATGGACTGGGCCGTGAGGATGATGCAGAAGGTCTGCAACGTTTTCAGCACTCCCTGGGAGAGGAACAACTTCCTGCAGTGCCTGGAGAACTCCTTTGCCCGCATGCTCATGGACATGCTGCAGGCAGTGCTGGCTGGTAAGGGCCTGAGGATAGAAAATTAAATGAGCTTTGCTTGGTCTTATCCTATGCAAGCTGTTCCAGCTCCAGAGCTCAGTCCCCAAGGGCACTGGGTGCCAGAAGCCAGCTCGCTCTCAGACCAAGGCCGCGGGTCAGCCCCTAGCAAGCAGGGAATATTCAGCTCTTAGTGATCAGGCAGCTCTTGTGATTTCAGCTTTGCTTGCTAGGTA